TCAAAAATGTAACCGAAAGTTACGGTTTATCTGAAAATCTGACATAATACTTTATTGATGTTCATGACTTATCCGCTGTTGTGTTTCTAAAGATGTGCTGATAAGTCACAGAAAATTGAATTTGTTCCATGTCTTCATAGAAAGGAAAAGGAGTTGTCATATTTTTCCCATATTTGTTGGGGTGAAAAATATAAGTTCTTTTCTAGTTGACATGCATAAAGTTAAGATTAAAACAAAAAACAGAGTTATGTTTCTTAAGATGTGATAGGTTACAGCAAAATTGAATTTGTTCCAAATGTCAAAATAAAGAAAAAGAGTTCTCATATTTGTTGTGGTGAAGTATCAAAATATTTTCGAAGTAAATATGTGATTTATTAGTTGTGGATAGTTTTGTGAAAATGGAGAAGTTGCATTAGTCAAGGGTTCTTGAATTGTTACATATAACGATGGATTTACGCTGTATCAATTATAAATTTCACCGTCAAAATGAAATAGTCTATTTTTAAAATTTATCGACTTGATTGTCTATTTGCGATTTAACAATGAATTTATTGGTGGTTTGTCGGAAAAATAAAGATAGATTTGCGACAACAGAGTCAGATCACCCCACCAATTTTCTTTTCTAGAATCAACTGAAAAAAAAAATTACAATTACTCTCAATTCTTATACTTTTTTACCAATCAAGTTGAAAACTTAAAAAAAAATGATTTCAACTTGTTTTAGCTAAAAAAAAGGGAAAAAGCACGGTAAACTTGTCCTCCAAAAAAATTAGAGTAAAAGTATTTCAACTGGTTTCAGCTATAATCCATGTTGTGAAAATCCCTGTCTACTCCGATTACTCCCGCTTAATCTCTAGATCCACCCTATTCGTCTCGATTAATGATTAATCTCTTAAAAAAATCAGTCACCCGATTACTTTCCGCCTAATCCGATTAATTCCTTTCTAATCTGATTATTTTCCGCCTATTCTTACATATCCTGATTATTTTTTGATGCAAGTATTAAAAAAAAAACTTTTTTTTTTGTTATTCAAACATTTGAATTAGAAGTTTGTGATGTTTTACAATAATTTATGTTCAAATTTTAATAAAAGTCATAAATTTTTAATAAAAATATAAAATTTGCGTTAAAATATATTTTTATGTTTTTACTGTAATTTTGAAAACAATATTAAATTAATATATTTTTAAAATATTAAAATAACCCTAAAACTAGTCCCAGATTAATCCTCAGTTTTAATCCGAGTATTTGTTTTTACCAAGATTGGGAAAATATCATTAAAATATCAGACTATTTTAAGAAATTGGATTTTTTTTTTTTTTTGATATTTTAGAAATTGGTCGAGGTTTTAAGGGTTCTGGAATATCCCGAAAATCCAATGTTGCTCAAACGTTCAATTTCGTTAATAAAAGCAACTGCTAGAAGCTTAGAAGGAATCTATAATTGGTTGACTAATTTTTTTGTTTTACGGTTTATACGTGATAAAATATTCCAACTTGATATATTTAAATTGTTGATTATTGTCCTCCCGGCCAAGAGTCTAATATTTTATACTTGAGGTATTTGCGTTTTTTTTTTTAATAAATGGCCTTTGTTTGTTTGTTTGTTGAGACAAGAACCAAAACCGTGCATTGAACAGGCTTCTTCATAGTTAATTGCGATTATCCGTAAATGATTAGAGCGATGAAATGCTATGATATTCCATCGATTCAGAGCCGGCTTAATAATATTATGAGTTTTTTATATATCATTTTTTTGTGCAACGAGTTAGAGCAACTCCAACAACAATACACCAAAACACCAAATTTTAACACCAAATTTGGTGTTTTGGTGTACTACTTTTTTTTCATCTCCAACTATTAACACCAAATCTCACACCAAAAATAAATTTAGTATTATTAAATTATTAAATTTTAGATTTTCACTATTTTTTAATAGTTTGATAAATACTAATAGTTTAATTTTGTAATTTTATGTTGTCAGTATTTAATTGAACTTTAATATGTATTTTCAGTTTTAATTAATTTAGTATTTCCTTAAAAATTATGTATAAATTATTATTCATTTTAATTATACTTTAAAGTACATATTATTAAAAATAAAAACATACAAAAATTGATGGTATATTTGATTTTTAGTTGATAAATAATAATTTCATTAAAGTATATAAATCAAAATACAAATAAAATAATAATTTTTTTTTGGTGTTTTATGAACAATATTACACCAAATATAGTGGGATGGCGTAACGTTGAAGAAGCCCTTATATATATATATATATATAAGATCTTAATTTTGGGACAACAAACTTTATATTTTTGAAGTATTTTGAAATGCACTAACATGAAAAATTGAGAAGAACTTGAAAAAGATTAGCCTAAGCAGATGAGAAGAGCTAATAAGCAGATTATGGGTAACACATGGCTCGTAAAATGCCATCAAGCGAGCATAACCATAATCAATGATCTTAACGCCTTATTGTAACGATCCGATCCTTATTTTTTTTAATAGGCCCCACGTCCTCTCTCGGCCCGTGGGCTCACCATCTTCCGACGATCGGTTCGCTATGTCCGGGAGGTTTTTAAAGATTTGTTTACCGACCCTACAAATCACCAAATGATCTTTCTCTGTGTTTTGTCCTCACTCACACAGTTCCGACAATCACTTCCCAGAAAGTCACTCATCATGAAATTGTTCCAATTCAAGCACCCTTAATTGTGGAGTTCTCTCTGGACAGTTGACCGAAAAGATAAGTGCACTTTGGTGACATAGGTGGCCAAATCAATTCTATTAAACTTCTCCGCATGCACTACCATATTCCTAAAACCGGGGTGTTACACTTATCCGTGCCAAAAATCATGCGGTGGTACCATTTAAAATTCCGAGAAAAGCTAAGTGTTAACAAACCTATGATTACTGAAGATGTATTGCACCGCACCTCGAATTAGGTTATCGCGCTAAAAAAAAAATCTTTAAGAAATTTGGCACAAGCGAATTATAAAAGCAACTTAAACACTGAGATCAAACCTCAGTTCACACCTTGTACTCTGCCCCATAGTCATCTGCAAATTCCAAAAAAATCCGTTAAAACAACCCATTATGGATTTTACAAAGCGTGCCATATAACTAACTATGTTAACATTCTAGCTTGTGACAGTTAAACCGAGTTTACCTCTCAAGACTCAAATACTTAATCCAGAGTCTAGTTTGTAACAAGTAAGCCATACATGCTTCCACTCTCTATTATCCACCCCCAAACTTACTTAACAAATCTCATACGATTTGATTGACCGAATGGTCACAATGCATAGACAACAAATCCGATAAATGCCTTATGACTTAAGTTGAGTCAACCTAGACTATTAGTCCGATAAACATATTTTCTTGCACAATAGCTCAATTTTGTGCTTTCTCAACTAAGATTTTGACCCCAATTTTGTGATTCCAATCATTAAATCACATCTCCAGGATTTTTGACATCTACAATTGTAATAAGCCGATTGCAAACTAATTCCTATCATTAAAAAATAATAATACATGTGGATCTAAAATATAAAGAGTACACTGACATTTGTACGTCTAATATTATTTTCTAAATTATCGAACTCAAACTAATGCTTCTGAACATCTTTTTAATACGGTCTGATCGATTTATTATTTATATAAATATATTCATAAACTAAATAAAACAATTATATAGTAACAGGAAGTGGATGGATAAACTTCTCTTCTGATTCCTTTCATACACTGATGACATATGAAACTATTTTTAGTATAAAGAACCGATTAGGCCTTAGCCTAACAAGCTAACACCAACAAGATTGATGAGAATGTCGATTACATTTATTTATTTTGGTTTTAACTTTCACTTTTGTAAGATTCTAAATTTATCAAATCTTATCCAAAATATGATAAACGAATGTCTGATATATTTGTAATGAATATTTTATATTTTGTGTTTATACTATTTTATAAATAATCTTTCTAAATTTGAATTTGATTGAATGTTTTTGGAATAGGTGGGGAAAACTGACAAAACAGAACATAAATCTTGTTTTTTTTTCTAAAGGTTAAAACAAAACCGTGTAATTCTTTTATATCCTAATTCGTTTTATACTAAATAGTAAATATCACCTCTGTAAAGAGTATTTGCACTCATAGCAAAAAAAAAACATGTTATTTTTTTTTCAGATAGCAAAATAATTTTTGAGTCATTTGGACAAGATTGAATTTCAGCTATTTTAATGATTTTATCTTTTTATTTAACTATTATGGATAGATGATTTATCACAGTAAGATTATACCACACATAGACAACAAAAATATTAAGAAGAGAAAGTATTAGAAATATCACTTTTATGATACCATTTTTCAAAAATATCACTACGAGAAAAGTTTTTCAAAAATACCATTATATAGCATGTCTTATAAATTTTTTGTAAAGTCTTGTAAAATTTTATTAAACGTTAAATATTTTATAACATGCATTATATATTGTAGAAATTTATAAATCCGTAACTGTGGTATTTTAGAAAATTGGACAAAAAATCATATTTTTGGAAAGTGGTATGCTTAAAAAATATTTCCCAATAATGAAAAATGTATGTTATTTATATGTTCTTGTTTCTAATCTGCATCCCCTCCACCACAAAAAAAATTCAAATGATAAAATATAAAGAAGAACAATGGGAACATATAATTGTCATGCAACACGACAAATTAATCATTTGAGTAACATAATTTATACATATAATATACAGGTCATGCATGACATTATCAAGAACGTTAACTGAATAATCTAATAACAAGAGTATGTATATATATAATTGATTTCGTAAGTTATTATGTTAATCTTTAATACAGTTTACTTCACACTCAAAATTTTTAAAACATCACTATCTCATATTATATTTGTTTCTATATAAACTCATTTTATAGTTTTAAATTAAATTGTCTGAAACACAAAAAATGAAAGTGTATTTATTATATAAACTCATTTTGTCTCTCTTTCGTTGTCAGAAACTTTCGAAACAGTCTTCTCTTCATTTGACAAAAAACACAAATGGAAGGAAGAGTCAACGCTTTGTCAACCATAAACGATCTAGAACTTCACGATTTCTTGGTCGATCCAAACTTCGATCAGTTCATAAATCTCATACGAGGTGATCATCAAGCCATCGACGAAAACCCAGTTCTTGATTTCGATCTTGGTCCATTACAAAACAGCCCATGTTTCATAGACGAGAACCAGTTCATCCCAACACCTGTCGATGACCTGTTCGACGAACTGCCTGACTTAGACTCCAATGTCGCTGAATCTTTCCGTAGCTTTGATGGTGAGAGTGTTAGAGCCAACGGCGAAGAAGAAGAAGAAGATTACAACGACGGTGATGATTCCTCTGCCACTACGACGAATAATGATGGAAGTCGTAAGACGAAGACTGATCGGTCTAGGACTTTGATCTCTGAGAGAAGAAGGAGAGGTCGTATGAAGGATAAGCTTTATGCATTGAGATCTCTTGTTCCCAATATTACTAAGGTAAATCATAACATGTTCAGACACAAGATTTGGTAATGAAACTGTAAATAATGATGATGATGTGTGTGTAGATGGATAAAGCATCTATCGTTGGAGATGCGGTGTCGTATGTTCAAGAACTTCAATCACAAGCCAAGAAACTCAAATCCGATATCGCGGGACTTGAAGCTTCTTTAAACTCTACTGGTGGGTACCAAGAACCTGCTCCGGATGCTCAAAAGACTCAACCTTTTCGCGGTATCAATCCTCCGGTTTCCAAGAAAATCGTTCAGGTAATAACCCGAAAAACCAAACAATCTTCTTGAAACATCAAAGCTTGAATATTTGTGTGTTTTGATGTGTTAGATGGATGTTATTCAAGTGGAGGAGAAAGGGTTTTATGTGAGATTGGTATGTAATAAAGGAGAAGGTGTTGCTCCATCTCTTTACAAGTCTTTGGAGTCTCTTACAAGTTTCCAAGTGCAAAACTCAAACCTAAGCTCTCCTTCTCCTGACAGATACCTCTTAACATATACGTTAGATGTAAAGTAACTTGTTCCCTTCTACTTTTCTTGTTTATAAGTCCCGAATATACGTTTTCTTACTGAGTTTGGTGGAAACAGGGGACATGTTTTGAACAGAGCTTAAACTTGCCTAACCTGAAGCTGTGGATCACTGGATCACTTCTAAACCAAGGTTTTGAATTCATCAAGCCATTCACTTGATTCCGTAACGCTTGCTCTAACGTGAGTAAAATCCGGTTCTGCATCTCATTGATTGTGTACCTTTCTTGCATGTTTCATAACTTTCAGGGATCTAATTTTAATTCTAGTGATGATGTAATCGAGATTGTTGATTCTCTCTTGAATAAACACCGTCTTATAGAGTAATTTAGCGACAAATTGTATGATTAAATGAAGTAATTTTATGTTTTGTTTATAATCAATCTCAAGTCTTAAGTTTGTCTTGCTGTTGCAAGACCAAGACAGATACCCTTGAAGGAAATTCCTTTGACGCTATAACATCTCCGATGGCTCCAAGTTCCTCAAACTCTGTCCGTTCATTCAATCCTTGCGTAACCGCGCTATTCATTCCGCTGCTACTTTCAACTATAAACAAAGCATAATCATACGCTATTGATCTTAGTATCATTGAAGTCTCAGCCCCTTCTTTGACCCTTTTTTCGATACATATCATGGAATCATTTTCATTTGAATCCTCCTCATTGTTCATTATCCCCTTTTTGTCCTCGAAATCCAACTTCTGCACCGAGTCATCGCTTTCCCCCGTAGTAAGTTGAGGGATGAGGCGTAAGATGGTTACGCTTGTCTGCTTGTTTCTCCTCATACGGTTGGTAAATGCTAAGGCTTCTCTATCGTCTTTCCCTCCCACAACTATTGCACACACCTGACATTAGAACCATGAGACCGATTTAGAACTTGTAAGAGCACACATCGAAGTGCTTATGGACCAACACTAGTATAGAAGATATATAAGCCAAAATAGATACTAATCATCAGTTGGTTTTGAGTTATAAAGCCATTATTAGATTAGATCTCTAAATCGCAAAAAAATAAATCGGTTAAAGCCATCATTAGAACATGTTTTTTCAAGTACCTTGTAACATGATCCGTCCATTTGAGATTCCCATAGAGGTTTCCGGTAGCCGAAGACTCCAACAGAGCAAGACGCTCTTTTCAAGGCATTACGGTTGAGATTCTGCATGGCCTTGTCGTCAGTGACCACGGTTGAGCGGTCAACAGACCAAGAACGGTGAAAAGGAAGCACAACGAGAGCTACAATTTTGTCAAGGGCAAGCCAAAAGGGGTCCTCGTGCATGTGATCTACCAAGCTTGCATATGTAAAGATGTCAATGGACATTGCCTCTTCGGTGAAATGTCTACGAAGATTTAAGAATGCAGTTATGACATTGCGGGAGTAAGAGCGTGTTCCAACCCTCGGCTTTTGCATCTTGTGGGAAATGAAGGTAGGACTGGCTTGACCTATGAGCTCCCCTAGTTGAACAACGTTGCATTCCAATTGTGAATCTTGTGTTGGGTTAAAAACATCTAGAAAGTTGACCATGGAGGTTATGTGGTCAGGCTTATGAATGCATATATACAAGGGTCTTCAGCTTACAGTCATGTTTCAAGGTTAGCAAGTTCCTATCTCGGTAACTACTAAAGATAGGATGTGGTTCGTACATGAATTCTATCGCGATCGGTATCAACAGCGAGCTGACAAGTACTGATGAAGCTGCAACGACAGTGAAGCTCTTGTTGTCAAACATCTGTTTTGAGAAATTAAACTTTACATATTATTGTTCATTAGCCAAGCTAAGCCATAACCAAGTAGATGTAGACATCTTTAACCGGCCTGCCTTCTGGAGTCTGTTTGATAATCCATAACATTTCCGGCCATATATACGATGTAGACCAAGAAGACGATAACGAAACAATAACCATAACATGTGGTAAACCTTTTTGTCCTTTTAAAAGAACCGTCCCGGAGGCCATTATAAAGATTACTAAGTCAGTGACCGCGGCACAAGACTGAACCATTCGTCCAAACTCGGAATGCTTGATCTTGAGATCTGTCAATAAACTTTGCAATATAATGATTTCTTGGTACTGAAGTTCCGTCATTGCCAACTACCCAAAATGTTCCCTAGTCCTCATTAGAATGTAACCGGATATACACGGGATGACCACTGTAGTAAACCCGATTAAAGCAGCCCTCGGTTTGGTTTTTCTAAGCATCCCAACGTCTATAGACACGCCTTTAAGGTTTAAAACATTCTTCAAAAAATTTCTTTCTGCTCTACCAAAAAAGAGTAGCAATCAAAAAACCAAATAAAATGAAAAATGTGGTCATACATTTATTTTTATTTTCAAACTTTTGTTGTAGATGCTACAAAGGAGAGAGAGATATGTAACAACAACAACCACAAAGCAAAAATATGCTTCTCAGTTTCTAATTATTATTGACTACCGTTCGTTGTTGTTGCACTACTAACACCGACGTTTTGCTCGGGAAATCCGGCGAGGCCAAGAAATCACCAATGACTCCAAGCTCCTCAAACTCACACCAATTCTCTATACCGCTAGTTGCCTCGTGGTTTTCGCCACATGTTCTTCCCACGACGAAAAGATCATAATCGAATGCCATGGAACGTAGAAGCATTGATGTATCCGCTCCATCCAATATCTCTTGTTCCAAGTAAATTGTTGATGTTTCTTCTTTTACTGTTCCGGCATCGTTGCTTTTCATCAACTCTCTTAGTTCCACTGTGTCCAGCATTTGATCCCATCCTGTCGCTTCTTTGCTCTTTCCTGATGCCAGGAGGCGTAGAACTGTTAATGTTACGTTCTCTTGTCGGCCCATTCGCTTCGCAAAGGCCAGAGCTTCCCTATCGTCTTTTCCTCCCACGAATATTGTACACACCTGTCATCAAATAGCTCCGTGTGCTTAGTCTTTCTATATAGTTAAAAGCGTCTACAACGACCAACATGGGCGCTATACTTGACTAACAAAGCGAGTCCTAAACCACTAGACCACTATGGTTGGTTTTTAAGGCGGAAATAATAAAATGTATATTGTAAGTATACCTTAAGGCTTTGCTGCGGTTCTTGCTTTTTGTTAACGAGATGGCGTTCGATAAGAATGCCGACAGAGCAAGGAGCTTGTTTCAAGACATTGAGATTGAGAAATCGGGTCATCTCAACGTCGGATACGATGGATGTTCGGTCAAGTGACCAAGTCCGGTGGAAAGGAAGAATGATAAGTGTGACAGCTTTATCAAGAGCTAGCCAACAAATATCATCCTGCATATGGTTCGCGTTTGCGATGCAAGTGAATGTGTCTATGGAAATGGAACTGCAGACATAACGGTGGAAATGTTCAAAAGAGAGAATGACGTTTTCGGAATATTTCTTTCCAGACCCGACTCCTAGTTTCTGAACTTTGTGTGAGATCAAAGTGGGAACGTCTTGACCTTGTAACTCGACGAGGTGAAGCACGTAGCAAGTGAGAGGGCTCTCTTCGGATTGATAAGAAGCTTCTAAAAGGTTGATCATGGAAGATATGTGGTCTGGTCTATGGATGCACACAAGAGTCTTTAGCTCTCCAATGTTCTTCATACTCGCTAAATTTCTCTTTTGGTAGCACATGAATTGCTTAGATGGATCGTAGAGAAACCCGATCACTACTGGTATGAACACAGAGTTGAGGACAATGGACAAGACTAGGATTGAGAATGTATCTTTGCTTACCATCTGTACCAAATCATCAATCAGAAGAAATAAAAAATGAATCTTTCTGTTTTTTGTTATTTGCAAGAAATCATAATCATGATCAAGAATCGAAAGATGAGAGACTAACCACGAGGCTGTAAGAGAAAAGGTAGAAGCTGAGTTCGATAATACCCTTATGAGACATGATAAGGGCAAGGATAATAGAGTCTCTCAACGGCATTTTATAGAGGTAAGGTACAATCACTGAGACAGAGAGCTTCAACAAGAAGATGAGCAAGATGAGAGACGCAACCGCAAATTTCTTATCATCGCTGCTAAAGAATGTCAAACAGCCTTTCCAAGAAGTGATATCAGTCCTGAGCATAATGGCTGATAAGAAGAGAGGCAATATGATACCAAAATTGAAGCTCTCTAATCGTTCGACCAATGCAGATCCAATAGGAGGTCCATTGGGAATGGCGAGGCCAAGAAAGAAGGCTCCAAGTGGAGGAAACTGACTGAGATCTTCCCAATACATACAAGATAAGCAAACCAAGACGAGAATCCCGTAGATGTATTTGTCTTCGATTGGTCTCCCTTCTCGTTTCCGCTTGATTACTTTAAACATTAACGGCCTCACAGCCGCAAACGCAATGACGAGAAATAAGGATATCTCAAAAAGTATAGACAGACCATCATTAAAAGACTTTGAAACTCTAGAAACGTTCGCCACCAAGAGCAGGAGTCCAACTATATCAGAGACTAAGGCTGAGGATAAAGCGACCCGGCCAATAGATGAATGGTTCATGCCGAGGTCGCGCAAGAGTCTTGCGATCCCCGAGAAGGATGTGATGCTTTCCATTAGCAGCATTATGTCATACTCGTTGGCACTGAGCGGTCGATTCTCAGCTGATTTGAGCGAGTAAAGGAAGAAGCCAACAAGTATAGGGAAAGTAACCGATGCAACTCCAGTGACTCTTGCTTTTGCTTCAGCCTTGAAGATTCTCTTGACGTCCATTTTCACACCTTTGAGGAACCAGAAAATCAAGAATCCAAATGATCCAAGGAGTGCTGCTATGTCGACTCTGTTTTTGGTGACTAAGATCTCCCCAATGAGCGAGTTGTCTCCCGATAAAGTAACTACAACATTCAAGAGTAGCCCAGCCTTCAATGCAGCAATGATTTTGTCAGTAGCAAACACACAAGTTTTGAAGAAAAAGAAAAAGAAGAAGAAGAAGAACTCACGAGCATCATAGAGGAGAACTTGGGAACAGAAAGACGCAATTTCTTGAACAGGATATTAAAGGCTTGCCAAAGGAAAAAGACGAGCAAGATGACAATCTCGAGCTTCGGAAGACGATATTGCCAAAAATAAAGACCTACCGTTTTCACAATAAGTTTCTCCCAAATACCATCTGAAGACAGCTTAGGGGGATGCTCCTCGCAAATCAACCCATCGTCTCTTACAGTTTCACCATACCAAGCCATCTCAAATATCCATCTTACTTCAGGACTCATCTCCGTAACCTCACCGCCTACCATTCCCGTCATTACGTCGCCGCCACCTCCCATTCCCATCATCTCGTCGCCGCCTCCACTAAAAGCCCCCGACATCCCGGGTCCTGTCCCATTCCCCATATCCATAACTATAAAATCTTATGTGAGAGTTCTTGTGAAAATGGGGAAGACGATAACAAAAGAAATGTTGGGTTCCTTTTGAGAGTGAAAAAGGAGAAACAATTTGTAAACAAGGGCACACAGATGTATATGCTGTTAATAGGTTATGCCGTTATAAAAAAACACACTTTGGACATCTATAGACATATGTAGTTTTAGACAGTTTTTGAGTTGTTTCTCCACTATAAATAGTATATGTCTTCAGCTTCTTACAAGTTAAACCATAGAAGAAGTCAACTAAGAATCTACCAGAAAAAGAAATTTCTTTAAATAAGAAGACTGTCTTTCTATGAAAACAGCTTTGTTCACACAGAAGATAGGAAACTTCAAAAGCACATTTATTTGGATTATAAACAGTCATCAGATGTCCCAATCCCAGAAACTTGTTTCAACAATCATGGCTGAGGTTTGCACTGTCTCCTCTGCTCTCCAAGCTATCTGAACCAGACCAGTAGACCATCTTACTCTATTAAAACTAAAAGATTTAACAAAATTCGAAGTAGAGGCCACAAGGAAGAGTACCTGAAACGTGGCTAGTGACCCTTATCACCTATCTGTTCACTCTATGCTTCAACTTTTTAAGCCCGACTTCAAAAGCATCTTATAGGCAACTGAAGAATCATGATACTGCGTGCAGATACCGAAATAAGTGGAATCTCATTCCCCATCAGATAATAACTTACCGAGAGTTTCTGGTTCAGAGGAGCATGCTCGGTGCACAGCATGGGAGAAGCATCGCTGTGATGATAATTTGAAAGGCGTAGACAAATTCACATCACGTCTGGAGTTTTTCACCGAGATCGTTCTCTTTTGTTAGAAACTGAAGCACCGTGCCCTTGACAATCCAGGCAGTTTTCTCAGGTTCTTGTGCAGACGGCATAAGAGGAAGTTGTGTTCCATCTTCAAGTTGCACACCGTACACAAATGGCAATCTTAGAGAGAGAAAACTATCAGGTGGTAAAATCACTGGACATCCAAGGCTGAACTGCAACTTCTGTTCACGGCCAATGATGGAGGGAGGTATACATGACTCCTGAAGTAGAGATAACGTCAGAGGTTATGTGAAATTCATGAATATCGACCAAATTATAGGTTAGAGCATGAACGTGAAAAGATCCAGTTATTGGGTTCTCAGTACAGAAACAATAAAGAACTATGAACCATCACTAGAAATAGCTTATAGACGTGTAAATTAGTCTGAGATAAAATAGTTAAGCGTAATGTTTTCTGCTATTCACAAGACATCATTCTGTAAGATATTCATTCCTTCACCCAAGGATTAACATAAGCTCTCAGAGTGCGAAAAGTACCTCAAACTTTATCACTGGACAAGTTGCCAACACTACTGGAAACTGAGGCGTAACCTGGAAGCAAAACGTTTGCAATAAGAAAATATAATGTGACAAATTAAACACCCCAGGTACAAATTTCACTAAGGAAAATTTGCTACTTCCATATCTTACCAGAAAGATCCTTTGAAGCTGCGATATTGTACCCGCATACTTGATATCTGAAGAATCTTTCTTTCCAAAAGCAGCTGAGCAATGTGGACAATTCATAAATATCGGCAAGTTTCTATTCAGCATAGAAAAAGCTACCCCAAAGTCTTCAGCGTTATTATCTTGGTTATTGGCCCCAAGGTTATGTATATGTTGATTGATGGGTTCACTATCAGCTGAATTTCTATTCCCTTTTTTTCCAGGAAAAATATTATCTTTTGAGACCACTTGGTTTGACCTGTCCATGTTTTTCATCCTATTCACTCCAGAAGCCATCCTATTTGTCTTTCGGCGTCCTTTACCATAAACAATATTTTTCTGCAGCTTTGAAGTGTCAGTCTTAATTTTTGAACTTTCTGCAGAATTAGGATCAAAATATTCTTCAGGGACAGAGTAAGGGCCAAGCTTAGCAAGATGCTCTGTATTCAATAAAAAGCGATGACCACTGGGGCACTCGTGCTCAAACCCTATGTAAGCAGTCAGAGGTTTCTGCACGGGGCTTGACGTAACCTTCTCAGCAACTTTCATGTTTACTGGCACAGGATTACTACCATTTTGCAACGGAAGGTCATTGCCTGTCGCAGATATACCTCTAGACATGCCTAAGGTTTCCTGATCACGAGAAATGTCCTTAAACTCTTGACATTCTTGATTACAAGCATCCTGAACGCTCTCTTCACTCAGACCATTCCAAACCTTTTGCTTGACAACCTTTTCTAAGGCCGGAGGAGGCTGCCTGCTCGGTTGAAGGGGAGGAAATAACAAATCTGTACTCTTTGATCCAGCAACAACCTCGGAGAAAGGCTTTCTCATTAGTAAATTGGGAAGGCCTCTACCAAAACTAATTTTCTTGTCACCAATACTACCATTACCAACAGATTCTCCACGTGTCACTGTGGCCAAGGTAACCGGTGCAGAATCAATGTTAGTTCTGATAGTCTTAGCCATAGTTACATTTGCCCTAGATATACAAGCTTTCTCCGATTCCCCAACCAGCAAATCATTTGGAGCATCATCTTTCTGCGAAGAGAGTACCAATTTTAAAAGGAACTTCTGGATTGCAGAAAACCCACTTTGAAGTAAACCTTTTGAGGGTTCATAGTATCTCGAACCACCAACTCGAACTAGACTCCATGAAGATGATATTATAGGCCCTGCATGAGCTATTTCAGGAAGCTTAACACTAGGAAGAAGTTTGTCACAATCTGGAAAGCAGTTAAAAGAAATATTTGCCGAGTCAAAATCAAAAGGATCACAACGTAATTTCCGTGAACGGCCACAAGCACATGCGTGAAGAAAAACATAACCACTGGAATGTGACATGATTTCCGCCCCAGGGAGAAATTGCTCCTCCACATTGTGCCTCTGGTGCACACATGGTTTACCGGTTAAACTGGTAGCATCACAAAGCTGCCTCCCGGATTCCCATATCGATATGCACTCATCCTGTAACCTCTTTGTGAAAATCTGCACTGATGGTCCTCTGACCATTGAGCGGAAAGTATATAAAGCCTTTTGTAGGTGTTCTTCATGCACTAACGTAGGATAACATGAGGGGAGATCTTTTAAATACACGTCTTTAGCAGCCGGAAAGGCTCTTTCACACCATAAGGATGAAAACTTCAAATTCAGACCTTTTCCACTTCCTAACAAAGAGACAGCAATATCCAAAGTTTCTGGGCCCTTAGATGACCTTGCTTCATTTTTCACAGGGGACATGTTTCTTTCACGAGATTTCTTCTTGCGTTGGTCAATTTCATTAGTAGACACAATTTTCGCAGTTATAATTCCATCTAAAATTTGATGACCGCAAGAGAGCCATTCATCCAATTGTGGCAGCTGTGGTGCACTATACGTTTTTCTGGATCCAGTTGAGGCAGCAGCTGCTGCTGCTGCAACTGCGACCATTCCGACGCCAGCACTACCTGAATTAGCAGCCAATCCTCCTTTACCTCTTAAAATATCAGAGCACCTGTAGATGAACTCTTTCACACATAGCACATCTTCTTTGGTAGACATCTGGCAATTGTTTTCAAGCAACAGAGAGTCTGAATTAGCCTTTCCATTCAAAACATCATCAACAAGAGAAGAGGCAAACTCCAAAGCCTCTCCTTTCTTATTTGATCGGTCTAAGAGAATAACAGCCTTTGATGCATCCAGCGAAAATAACGGTGCATAACTCGAAATGCTCCCACTTCTTGAACCGACATGATTGTTATCCGAACCTGTGAGCGTTCTACATTTCTTGATCAAAAACCTAACTTGTGCTTCGAGAGATGATTGTAATTTTTTCCTCAACCCCCCTTCAGATTTACTTCCTGGGCGAGATAAAACAACTACAGAACCAGAATTTTTCGTCGGTAACTCTGACCTAGTAAGCTTTCCTGTGTTCACAGACTGATCATTAGCAGATGAAGTGGTTGTTGAATCCTCTACATTAGAACTGGACTTCAACATATCTGAGAAATCATCCAAAAATACGAACAATGTAACAGGATTACACTGTCCAGGGAACAGAGAAGTGTAGGAGCCTCCACCAGACTTGAGAGACACCGATGAACCACTGCGACTTACAATGCCCCCACCTCTCGACGAAGCTGAGTGTAGTTGTGAAAAATTATTTGACGATGAATGAAGTCTTGATGTCAAAGGTAAAACTGTCTGCGACCTAACAAATGGGGCTAAAGCTTGTTTCGAAGCTTGCAAAACCCGAAATTTCTTCAAAAGCCGAGTATCAAAGCGCGACCCCTCCTGAATGTTTATGATAACATGGCAAACCTGCATTGCTAGAATCATTAAGAAACTAAACAAGACAACTTCTGCCTACTCTAGTTCTTTTCCTCATCAAGATGTCTAAACTAACTAAAGACAAACCGATATAACCCACATTGTTAATCCAGCTTAAAAAACAATTATCAGCGTCCTAAATCAATCCTCTATGTTCAAAATACTCAAAAGTTCCTATCTTTGGTAACATAAGTTGCAATTGAAGTGAAAGATTGATGCTTTAGCTAAAGAGAAAACTCACAGAGAACATAAATAGCAAACCCTGAAGATCACCGAACTCTCGTTCCTCCAAAACAGAATCAAAACCCGAGTCAGAAGAACTCGATAAAGCAGGGCAAATGATAGGTGAGAATTGCACAAAGACGATTCCTTTATCTTCTTCGTGGTAATAACAAATCTTCCGGAACCTAAACCAATCTTGAAAATCCGGTTTATCAACGGTAAGGATCTTGTTCAATTTTCCAGAACCGAAGACGTTGTTGTCAAGAACTTGGTTTATAAGGTGTGATGAATCGTCTGGTCTTCGTGAGAGGAAGCCTACGACGACGACTCCGTTTGAAGAAGAAGGGAGGTGATGATTTGATGGAGAGAGGAATTGAGGTGGATCTGGTGATGGAGGTGGTGGTGAGGGACCGACTGGCCGGCGGATTAAGCCGGGGACGGGCGGTGGACGAGGGAAATTCATGACGGAGCTCTGTGTTGTTTGTTTGTCAGCTCTGAGTTGGGGTTTTTGTGTTTTCAACAAGTTTCCATGAGAGAGGACACAAAGCTTTTGCTTTTGGGCTTAGTTTTTATTTTTTTGTCTATCTTTGGGCCATAACGGGCCGGCCCATTAGCTTATTTATAGAACTCCTCATCGAGATGATGTCGGTTTGTTATTCGGTTTTAAACTAAAACATTGAATTTTACTTGTATACGTTAATTTAACTCTTAGCGTATACAATCTTGAGTACTCATCTAGTGGATTTAAAATTTATCTAGACCTCGTGAAGATTTAAAAATTCTAATAAATTTTGTAAAAGAGGTTTTTTTTTTTATATATGGTTGGTTTATGGTCGGTTTGCATCCATGATTTGGCAGTCTACTGAACCGGTTTAGTTTTGGAAAAATTACCAAAAACCATTAGTATCTCTTTAATTATGACATCAGTGTTTATGTGGTTTCTCTTCCTTTGTCTATAAAATATATAATTGTAGAGAGACATAAGAGATATCTTTGTGACCATTGACACAAAGAAAAAAATCTAGAGAGATAAAAAAACGTTTTAGAGAGAAAAAGCTTTGAATGATTAACTAGAGAGGACAAACGGTGGCTTGTAGTTGATTTTTCTCTATGACCACAACCTCGTTCTGCATCGAGTCTTAGATAATTTCTACTCAAATTTGTCTCTAAACCAACCAAATTATGTGTTTCAGTTAACGTTTTCGCTTAAAATAGTAACATATAGTTAACTTTTTAAGAACTAATTTGCCAATAAAAACTAGCAATAAAGTGAAGAAAGTGTCTAATAAATAAATCAAATTTAAGTCCTAAAGTATGTTTTGAACAAAAAAAGAAAAGGAAAAAAGTTCTTAAGTTGGGAAAATGTTAAAGCACTCAAAAATCAATTTGTATTTGTGTGGGCCGAAACAAGTCACACCAACAAAAACCTCATCTCTCAATTCACACTATTTTGCCTACTCATTTCCTCCAAACGTCAAAACCAAAATCACAGCAGCAGCAGCAGCCATGGCTGCCACCAACACAATCCTCGCATTCTCATCACCTTCTCGTCTCCTCACTCCTCCTTCCTCCAATCCCTCTTCCTCTCCCCATCTCCGTTCCTCTTTCCGCGGCGTTTCTCTCAACAACAACAACAACCTCCACCGTCCCCAATCCGTCTCCTTCTCCACCAGAGCTCCATCGAAAGCCTTGACTGTTGTTTCCGCCGCGAAGAAAGCTGTTGCAGTCCTCAAAGGTACTTCCGATGTCGAAGGAGTTGTTACTTTGACCCAAGATGATTCAGGTCCGTCTCTCTAAATCTCCAATTTCTTACATGGGTTCCTTCTAATTGACTTGATGGGCATGATTAGGTCACTCTTAGTGTTTACTCTGCTTCAATATCTGATCTTAGATTTCTTCAAAGTTTCAGACTTTCTCTGTTTAATCTGCTTCATATCTGATTTTCGAATTCTTCAAAGTTTCAGACTTTTTCTGTTTAATCTACTTAGTTTCGTTTGATTCACATTTCTTAGTGTTTGGTTCTCACTGCTGATAAAGAAAGTGATTAGCTTTAGCCTTTAGAGTGTTTACATTTTATGGTAACTCTTGCTGGTTTCAATGGTTCTATGAAGTTTACAAGTAATCTAATTTTGACGATGTAGATTGTTTAAGTGAATGGTTGTTAATGGCAAGCAGGTCCTACATCTGTGAATGTTCGTATCACCGGTCTCACTCCAGGGCCTCATGGATTTCACCTCGTAAGCTTGTTCGTCATTAGATGAATGAATTTTGTGTTCTTCTTGTAGTTATAATGATGTGATTATTGTTTTCTGTTTGATTTTATCAGCATGAGTTTGGTGATACAACTAATGGATGTGTCTCAACAGGTTAATAGCAATATACCCCTATGGCAGATTTGTTTGATACCGATATATTGTGATTTGCCGAATTCTAAGATGATATTCTGTCTTGTATTCTTTTAGGACCACATTTTAACCCTAACAACATGACACACGGAGCTCCTGAAGATGAGTGCCGTCATGCGGGTGACCTGGGAAACATAACTGCCAATGCCGATGGTATTGAATCCTCTTTTCAAACTCCCAAATATTATTGCTGCCATCTTCGATAATCTGAAAACTGTTTGAACTAAATAATGTTTTTGTAACAACAGGCGTGGCAGAAACAACACTAGTGGACAATCAGGTTGGTGCTATCGCATGTTTTTCCTTTAATTAGTATTTTGCTTCTCATATACTCTCTTATAAGAAGCTTTTGTTTACTGTGAAATCAATTTTGCAGATTCCTCTGACTGGTCCTAATTCTGTTGTTGGAAGAGCCTTTGTGGTTCACGAGCTTAAGGATGACCTTGGAAAGGGTAATCCATTATACTCTTACTTTAGCTTTGAATGCATCAATTGCCACCGGTTACGATATTCTTGTGGCCTGTGAAATATTTCCTCTCTTTGGATTTTGTAGAATAATTTTATTGACTTGTTAGTGAAAAGGATGGCTCATTCCAAGCTTATAAAAGTCTCTAAATCCAAGTTATGAATCTGATCAGTCTCTTTGATTTGACAAATATAGGTGGCCATGAGCTTAGTCTGACCACTGGAAACGCAGGCGGGAGATTGGCATGTGGTATGGTTAAACTCTTTATCCTGCAATTGTTTCATACGCCGATAATTGTGGTTTCATTAGAAAAACACACTTTATTATAACGTTTAATCGCAAATTCAGACTCTCTGTTTCGGTATTCTCACGAGTTATATTGGTTCTTTCGCAGGTGTGATTGGCTTGACGCCGCTCTAAGTCTGGGCTAAGTAAGTACTCTTATGTCTACTGTGTTGATCTTGTCTGTTTGAATCAGATGTCAGAATCTTAAGCAAATAATGTTTGGCTGAATAAACTTGTGATGTTTTATGTTCATTGCATCAAACTCTCTTTTTGGATTTGTGACAGTGATTTGATACTTTTGATACAAATTTGCACTTGATCGTTTTAGTACATTTTGGTTTATTTAGCATCCTTTTATGCAGTTCAGAATTTTGTGATGATTCATGGGTTTGATTTTGTTTTTGGGTAAAGTGACTTTAACACAACTTTAAAAAATTGATAATAAGCATAATTTCACCAACTTGTTATTGTAACAAAACTGAAAACTAAACACGTGAAAAAAGTGAGAAATAAAAACATAGGTGTAAGCAAATATCTTAAGCTATAGGGATGTGAGTGATTTAAATTAGAAAGTTTTTTTAAATGGTAAGAGTTGTTAAAACTTAGAACATGTGAGTTGTTATGTGTTAACTAATAAAATTATATGATAAAGTTGTAAGAGAATATTAATATTCTAGAATTTATTATTTATTGCAAAGTCGTAGGTTTATGCATTTTTGTCATCTTTGCACAAAAAAACAAAAAAAAAATGCATTTCTGTCATCAAATTGAAAATTCTACAATTTTAGAGAAGAATTGCAATTGTGATTTTGGAGTTTAATGTCAAATTGTCAATTGTGATCTCTAATTTGATGAAGGAAATATTGTTTTTAAGCATGTGATTCTATCATGTAACTAAAAAATGTAATCCCTAGCTACGTATGATTAACGTCGATCCTCTAAAGAGATGTGTATCCTTTTTGGTTACATGAAATGTTCACTAAAGAGATGTGTACCGATCACACAAATGTAAATAGCCGATTCGAACCAAAAAGAAAATACAAACAATGGGTAAACTATGTCAAGTGAGCAAATGATTATCTCCTATTCACCTCCAAAAATTATGGAAAAAAACATGACTTTGAGTTAATTTGATTTTGTTCAATATTATAGACAAATCATTAACTCTCTTGCTTACTTAACATTGAACATTTTTTTCCGGAATGGAAAAGGCGCCATCACTCTCTTTTTTTTTTCATTTAAAGTTTAGTTTTTTATATATACACATACTTTTTTTTGGTTTAAGAATATAAACATAGTTAAAATGATAAATTATAAGTAAATAATTAGAAAGATGTAGTAAAATGACTAAATGAGGATCAGCTTACCCACTTTTTTTTTTTTTTTTTTTTTTTTAGCTTACCCACTTGGTTGGTCCAATTTTGTATGCGTCTTCCAAACCGTCTGTCTGTTACTTCAACTACCTTATTAATAAATAATATAAATATGTTCTTATTACATTAATAATTACTTTGCTTTTCCAAAAATTTCCCTAGACAACTTGTGATTTCTTTTGACATATTTTGAGATCATTTCATTGATAAAGTCTCTATGTAAATATGACTTGGTTCGACTTATTGGAAATTGGAAATTCGAATATGCAAATTGTATTTTTGAGTTGACGAGTTTAGCCAAGTGCTAGACTATACACATAGTTATCAATTTATCATCCCATGTTTTTCTAAAAAAAGAAGGACAAGAGGAGTTTTGTGGATTTTTCTGACACAATTGATGTGACTTTTACTACAAGAAATCAGCCCATTAACGACTACAACATTAGTCGTAAAATAGTCGTTAAACATGCAAAGACGACTATCATACGACTAATATATATAGTCGTAAATCCGTAGTCGCTAAACTTTTTAGTCGTTAAATTAATCGTTATTTTGCGACTAAATTACGACTATATATGATGAGTCGCCATATTAGTCGTAACATAGTCGTAACTATAATACGACTAACTTACGACTATGCTACGATTAAACCGCATGTATAGTTGGTCTCCTAAGTGTAGTCGTAACTTAGTCGTAAAGTTTTAGTGACTATGTTACGACAATTTGGCGACTAATAATACGACTACGTTTATTAGTGACTACGTAGTCGTTAAATTTTGTGTCTAATATGCGACTATTAGACTACTATTTTTACGACTATTAGGCGACTATGTAGGTTGATAGAACAAAAGTTTGGTAAGACCTGAATTATAATTTGTTACGGTTATGATTGTCATTCTATATCTATTTTTAAATATCAAAATTAACTTTAAAGGAAAGCAATAATAACCTTAATCATAATAACAACAGTTACAAGGGAAATACACATTAAGTTCGTGTTCAAACCATTTAAACATAGCAAACTACAACAGTTACAGATCACACATAATGTTCACGTCAATGTTCAAGGGAAAAGGAATAGAGTTGGGAAATAGAGCAACATATGGATCTTGTTGGGGAATTGGGTCTGTGGTACCAGCTGAATAATGAGTGGCCATGAAGTGGAGGAATTGAGGATCAGTTTGACGCAGATACTTCTCTGTAAAATGATGGTGGAAAGATCTTTTCCAAATTGCATAAGATTAAAATAATATTCTGTTTTGGAATTTGAACACGACTTTTCTGTAAAGTCCTCGAACATAAGTCCCGGAAAAATGCTCCAATCCCTGAAATATATATTCAAATTACATCATCATTTAAATTTGATAGATAAAATACTAGAATAATATATTGTTAAGTGTCGCAAATAATAAGTAATTAGTAGTACCTGATAACGCAAGTTGTACGTTCCGGTCAAGGAGTTCTACAAAGATAAATGGAAGTAGTCGCTCCATAAAAACATGGCAATCATGACTCTTCATGCCTGAAAACTTACCATTCTCCATATCTACACAAGTAGCCAAATCTGAGGAATAACCATCTGGGAATTTAACCGAATGTTTCACACATTCCAATAAACTCGCTTTGGCTTGATCTGTCAATATATATGCTGGGAATGGAGCTTTACCCTTACTATCAATATGTAAGGCTGGCCGAGAACAAAAATTTTCAATATCCAATCTTGACATGATGTTGTCTTTTGATTTACCTTTCACACTCATAAGAGTATTCATGATGTTGTCCAGAAAATTCTTCTCTGTATGCATCACATCAATATTGTGTCGCAGATTGAGATCTTTCCAGTAAGGCAGCTCCCATAATATGCTTTCCTTGTGCCAGTTATGTTCCTTCCCATAGCCTGGCATCTTTTTTTCATGACCGTTGCCACCAACGTCCTTGGTTTTTGGTGGATTTACGCCATCCAACCGCTCATAATAAAATTGCTCACCGGTCAAAGATTCAGGTGGATACTCTTTAGAAGCGTCTCTTCCTTTAAGGAAGTCTTTTTTGTTTTTCCGTAATGGATGACCATGAGGAAGAAATCTTCGGTGACAATCAAACCAACATGTCTTCCTTCCATTAGGTAGGTAAAATGACTTTGTACTTTCCATGCAAATTGGACAAGACAGTTTACCGTGGGTGGTCCATCCTGATAACATGCTATATGCCGGAAAATCGCTTATCGTCCACATCAGCACTGCTTTTAGATTAAAATTTTGATTCAATGACACATCAAATGCATCAACTCCAGTAGACCACAACTCTTTTAGCTCCTCAATAAGAGGTTGGAGGAAGACATCGAGACTACCTCGCGGGTGATTTGGCCCAGAGTTCAGAATTGTGAGAAACAAGTACTCTGTATTCATGCACATACCTGGGGGTAAATTATATGGAGTCAGGATCACAGGCCACAACGAATGATTACGAGACATGCCAAATGGATTGAACCCATCTGTACATAAGCCAAGATATACATTTCGGGGTTCTTCCGCAAACTCGGGATTTTGCTCTTGGAAATATCTCCACTCTGCCGCATCTGAAGGATGATTCATTTCTCCTTCCTTTGATTGGTGCTCGGAATGCCATCGCATTGTCGCTGCTATCTTGTGGCTCTGATACATTCTCTTCAATCGGTCACCAATAGGTAGATACCACATTCGACTATATGGTACTTTGGTTCTACTACGATCATCCTTAGGCTTCCATCTTTGTGCACCACAAAACCGACATTGATCTTCTTTTTCAGTTTCTTTCCAGAAAAGCATACAATTGTTCATACAAACATCAATTGTATGATATAGAAGACCTAAATTGCGCATCAATTTTTCGGTCTGGTAATGCGAACCGGTTACCTGGTTTCCTTCTGATAAAAAATCTGTAAACATTTGGCAAACCGAATCCACTAACTTTTCACTCATATTATACTCCGCCTTATTATGCATGAGTCGAGCAGCTAACGATAACTGCGATTGACCTTCACGACAACCATCGTATAATGGGTTTTGTGCACCTTCTAACAAGTCGTAGAATTTATTTGAATGGTTACGTACTGGATCTTCGACATTTCTGATACTACCATCCTGATCATAGTTATCATCAAACCCCACGTTATAACGAAATGCATCGTTCACCATATCCACATAAGGATCTTCTACAACATAACCCACCTCTTCATGATTCTCACTTTGATATGTCCTATCAGTGTGACTCGTTCCTATATCCATATTGAGTTCTTCCCCATGTCGATACCAAACATAATAATCTGCCATAAATCCTTGACTAAACAAATGACTACTAACTCTTCTACCCGAGACCATATGTTTTTCATTCTTGCACACACTACAAGGACAGTGAAATTTACCGCGGTTACTCTGTACTATAGGCTGGCTATTAGCAAACGTCATGAATTCCTCCACACCGGCTACGTACTCCGCTGACAAATTTCCCGTCACTTCGTCGAACCGCTTGTACATCCACTCCCGATAACCACCATTACCGCCATAATTGTAATTTCCCGTCATTACCAATAAAATATAAAGAAACTAATTTTTTGAAAAGTGTTTATTCCAAATTCGTTTTTTTTTTTCGAATTCGTTTTTTTTTTCTTATGTGAAGGAAGAGAGAGGAGGAGATGAGTGAAGAGAGTGAGTGCTGTTTTCTTTTTATATAGACAATTTTTGGGCGACTAATTGGCGACTAAAAGTTGTAATCGCCAAAAAACCGGTACACCTACCACAAACGAAAAAAACGTGTTTCTTAACTGTAAAATACGACAAATTGGCGACTAATTTACGACTCGCCGAAAGAGTCGTAATGTAGTCGCCAAACTAGCGACTAATATATACTGTCGGAAAATAGTCGCTAAATTAGCGACTAATATACGACTAGAATATATATTCTACTTATTAGTCGGTAAATAGTCGCCAAATAGCGA